AGCGCGCCAAAAACGCCAGATGGGCGCAGATGTTCAGTTTAGGAAACAACAACTGGTGCAGCTGCACATTACTGCGCAGTTGCAATGGAAAATTTCCAAGATCCCAGCTGCAGGTGGCCAGTGTCAACAAGACGCCGACATCTGCGAGCCAACGCGCGGCGCGGGAAAGGGGTGCAGGATCCCCTCTTCAAGAGGATCAGGTTACCAACAACCAGAGGGAGCCGGACAACAACCCCCCAGGCGCGCGCGCACCCGGGATCACGTGATCTCCGAGTGCTGAGGTCGTGGCCGCTTCAAGGGTCCCGAAGGGGCAAACCAAAAATACAAAAAGGGGTTTTTCACAAGTTCTGGTAAAAACGCGCAAATTGCATTTCTGTACACAGGATGACCATATTGAATACAAACCGGGGGATTTTGTAAGAATCCCAGCAGTCAAACAATTTACATAGACTTTTTTTCCATTCAAATTACTGCAAAATACAACAGACAACCAAACGACAGAGCAATCATATGTTACAAATAATTTTCCACAGGCATATACAAATTCTCTCAGGGTAAAGGGAGAAATCCTAAGGAGGATTTCCCACAATTATAGAATTTCTGAGAATATTTCTCTTCCTGCTAAAGGCAGAATTATTTTTGGAAATCTTCCCATTTTCAAGAGAAATCTTGATCTTTATAGGGTTAAACATCAAAATGATCTATAACACAATAATGTGAATGCCTCAAATGGTTTCAATAGTTCTTTGGACATTTTAAATCTCTTAAAATTGGCAGCATCATGTTTTTCACTAAATTTCACTTACATTCGAGTCTGTTTTCAGCTTTCTCGTCAACGGAATGCTTCTCTTCCTCCTGGAATGTTGAAGTCCTTGATGAACCCAGTGATATTCATGGTCAGATTGCAAAACCTGTAAAAAAAAAAGGAATTTAATGATTTCGATAGCCTTTTCCTTCAGTATATATTCTGCTTTATTTGGTACGATGTTTGCAGTTTGATGTTGATTTTTCTCAGCATTTTTATCAATCAAAAACTGAGAAAACAAAAATTAAAATTCGGAGGGTTTTTTGAAAAAAAAAAAACATCCCTAGTTCGCTTGTGGATCCCAACAAAAAATTACTGAACCTTCGCGCTGGATAAAACAATCATTTCATCAAGCAAATAATGAATTTCAAATATGGAACGTATTTTTTAGAACAATTTATCCGTGTGAAATTATCTTTTCTGGACTGGAATATTTGTGACACACGAAATTTTCGTAAGTGAATGATTATTCTTCGGAGTAACAATTAACTCATGCGTCACCGTCTATATTACAACAGCTGCAAGCCATTGCATTAATTAGAAATGTCAACTTTAATATGTGACCTTTAACTCATCTCGACTCATACTATAAGTGAATGATTCATCTTATAGTTGAAGGCAACGGCTCTCTACCTTCCCCTACAAGACACCATGGAACACATTTTATACGTATCCAGTATTATATTTTTACATTTTCTTATCATCTCGTCCATTTATTTCTGCTAGGCTGGTCAACCGGCGTGAATGACTGTTATTCGAACCCGAGATTATATCAGTTAAATGATCATTATCTTGATTGAGGTTCATTCGCTTGAAGCTCTGACATTTTTAAATTGACTAANTTTATTTCTGCTAGGCTGGTCAACCGGCGTGAATGACTGTTATTCGAACCCGAGATTATATCAGTTAAATGATCATTATCTTGATTGAGGTTCATTCGCTTGAAGCTCTGACATTTTTAAATTGACTAACACGGATCTCTGTGCCCTATTTAAATTTGAAAAATCACTGAATTGTGTTTCGTGTTATATCTAGAAAGCGGGTCAATATTTTCATTAAGATTACATAGATGCGTTTTACACAAGCAACTGGACATAACCTACTAATTTTCCTCCAAGAACACGTGAGTCCAGCAGCACTTTCTTTAAATATTTCGTCAGACATTGGCGTGAGACAGTTCTATACTGCAGTAGTAGGTTTCCTACCGTTAAGACATTGTACGAGAAATAAGATATTTTGAATTGGTTTGGCCAAAGATCTTAAAAACACAGCCTGTTTTAAGTAGCCAAACTTCAGCAGTTTACGGACTATTGAACCTTTATTTTCAACATTCTTGATGGTAATCTTACGGCAATTAAGTAAGCAACAGCAAAATGCAACTCGGGTCTACATTTTTTCAGCTACGATTTGTCGCCTGTTGACAATAAAATTGGCAGCTATTATAGTACACTACAATGAAGTCATGCTAACAAATCAAATTCGTTTTATGTCCCTGTCTCAAAAACAACAGCGTTTTTCGAATTCCTCCGAAGAATTTGGGTCCAACGCCTTTTTTCTGGTTCCACTAAATTTGTTTGAATGAGATTTTACTGTAGGGTATACTCATAGTATTGAATTTTTTCTAAGGTTTTATAACAATTTCATTGGATTTTCAGAAAAAATGTAAAAATATACACCCAGCATTTAACTTCTGTAATACTGTACTACTATTACTACAATTTATAAAGCACAGGTTGTACCCTACAATTTGAACCTCACTCGGCTGGGGTCAAATTGCAAAATGGTCAAATTGTGAGACACTGTAAAATTAAGAGCTGCACAAAAGCACTAGAAAATTGGCTGAAGCATGTCAAATTGTTGGGCATAGTGCAAATCAACCTTCCATCAAATTAAACCATGTAAGTGCAGGATTGACAAATTGCGGAAGGTCGAATTGTGAGGCACCATCTGTATACCACCATCGCAGATGAACTCTCTACAATGATCTTGTCTGTCACAATTTTCTCTCCATAACATATTTTGTGGTCCCATAGGTTGTCTCCATGTTATATATGGGTTCTAATCTACAATGATTTTTTTCCGTTTCCTTGAGTTTTATTGTAGAGAGAGTCCACATGTATTTACTTTTCAGAAATATAGGCAGTACTTTTCAATTCAACATGCCACAATTTGACCATTCCACAAATTAATTGTCAAATTTTCTGGGAGGTTGACTTGCAATTAGATCTCTGCCCTGCAAATCAATCCATAGAGAGACACAAAACACCAAATTCAATGTATTAAAAATTACCACCAATTTTCTTTCAAAACTTGAATACTTTGCAATTCAACCCCAGTCTGGCAACAAATGAGGTTCAAATTCTAAAATATTGTACCACATGTACTGCTGTTCTACTTTCTCAAATTTGTGAGTACCAGGGATGGTAATTTTGAAAAAACATTTGCTGCTCTGGGCAGGATTAAGAGCTGATGCACATTTAAGTCACAGTGACTTTTCATATATAAACTGAAACCTCACCTTGCCCCAGTTCTGAAAGCCATGCTTGCCAGCCAAAGCCTCCACTGCATCCGGCGCCATACTTCTCCTAAGCCTCACATAAAATGAGTTGGTGAAGGTGGTGTCAGGCGAGGTCTGGGCCCCAGGAACGAAGATCTGTATGAGGCAGCAAATGGCCGCCGCCGTGCCTAGCAACAGCCTGCGTTTTCCAGGGGCAAGTAACAAAGACAAAGGAGCAGGGACTTGTTCGCTGCTGCTGCGACCTGTCGTCATCCTGTCTGCTGCTTGATGAAGCCCACTCAAGGATCAATGGAAAGGGGCCTGATGGATTATTCTTTTATTCCTTTTTGCTGCTGATGCCCAATGAAATGGGGTTATTTGCTTTTTCGGTACAGCGGGGTTCTTGCTTTTGTTTTTTTTTCCTTCTTCTTGGCTTTAGTTGCTGAACTGCGCGCGAATTAATCCCAGTGGGATTCCGCAGGTTTGGCCTGCGTGAGCCACATTACACAGCTGATCCCCGTGTTGGTGCTCAGCTGCTATTTGTGACTCTTTCACTGTAAAGGGAAGTTGTACAAGAGGACCTGCAGCTTAACACAACTTTTTCAACAGGTTACTTGTTTGATGAATACTGTACTAGCTGTATGCTTATTTTGCCAATTTTCAGCTTTGACATGGTTCAAATTCAAAACATTTCACCCAATCCCCCCACCCTCCAACACTCATCACAAAGACATCCATTCAAAAATGAAAATAAAAACAAATGTGCATCACAGTACATAAAAATGCATGAATCCTATCATTGGCAACGTTATTGACAAAAATGCACAACACCCAGCAATTAATGAGCACAATTTAAAGAACAAGGTTTTCAGCCAGTTCCAAAATAATAATTAATCGATTGAATAGTTTAGAAAAAAATCTTCGCAGAGAAATCGCATATAGGCTAACACTTTCCCCTGGTCCTTCCAAATTTAAAAGAGAATATTTTTATTAAAATTCGAGAGTCCCTAGTCTTTCAAAAGTCCATTTCTAACAGGTTTACCATGTAAACATCCATCACCTTCAACAGTTAGGGGGTATATTTATTGTAAGAGCAAAACTAAGACGCGGGTTTTAAAAGGAATGCCTGGTTTTATTTCTGAAGCTTTGAGAATCAACCTTCCTCATGTCATTGTTGCCATTTGGTTGTCGTATTTTCTATTTGAGTTAGTTCATGCAAAAAATTGAATTTCAATTGACTGAGTTGACTATTGATGCTGTAGCATTAGGCCCACCACGCAAAGAGGCCCCCAGATAATTCAGAAATGAAATTCCCCAAACAGAGGAATTTCAAATTAAAAATTCCTAAGCTGGGGAATTCAAGCTTTTGATAGAGTCTGAAAACTTTGCAAAAGCAGAAAGGAGAAAAGTATTTAGGATTTTAAAAAGCAAGCATCAATAAATAAATACAAGCACGCTGCTGCACATAAAAACCCTTGAAGAGGAAACAAGATCAAGGACACAAAAAACAGGAAGAGGCAGAGCCAACAAATCATGTGGAGGAGAAAATTAAATCAAACATTTCAATTCCACTCACACCACTGGTGGTGGTATAAAATGTGTCACTCCTGTCCCCACTTCTAAAGCCTGTGGTGCATGGCCTCAAAAATCTTGTGAACTGATTTCTTGGTGTTTACAAAATTATTACATTTTATTTCTGAAACATCAGTGATTTATAAACAATTGTTATGTAAAAATTTATTTCATTTAATCAATTCCCTGCTGTGCATCCTTATTCCCCTCCCCCTTTGTCATTGTTCTGGGTTCCATAAACCCAAGTGTCGCTTTCTTGCAACAGAGATGCTTTTTGAACACCCACTCCCCCTAAAAAAAAAGTTTCCCATGTTGCATCCTGGGAAATAGAAAGATCCCCCCCTGAAATTTTATACTGTGCACCAGGCCAAGAGGATCTTGTCCAATTAAGCCACATTTTCTATGAGGACTTTCAGGAGCAGGAGTTTGGCAAACTGAGTTTGTTATTGTTACATATCCCTATTTATCTTGTGTTGGGAAAATATGTCTTTATCTTTCACTCTTGCCAGTTTTCAATAAAAAAAATTGCAGTTTCTATATGTATTTTCTAGATTTTCCATTGCTCTATTTAGTCTATATAAACATTTTGGAAGTAATAAAAAGATTTACAAGTTGCTGAATGTTATTTCTCTTTGCTTTTTTGTGGAGCCCCTCACTGCATTCTAATGTAAATGCTGCAAGTTTTTTGTTGTTGTTATGATGACACTGAGAAACTTCAGACAATTTCTAGATCTTTCTTGAAATGTTTGAAACAATTAGAATAAAATACTGGATTGGAACTTTTTCCTCACTTCAGCATTCATTCAGAAATGCAATTTTTTCAAGTGCTCATGACACACAGTATGGCTTACAATTTGGTAAATTTTTGAATAAATGGAATAAGTTTATGTAATTTTGATATGCAATCCAGGTTAAAGTTGAAATTATGATGAGGCATTTTTGTTTTTAAGGCAGACACATACTTCCTCATCATGAATTTCTTTGATTATGTACATCTGTTGTGCCACAAGTGGAACAACTGATATTTTTGTGCCCATTCCTAATTAAACACTTCAAAATATCTCTCAAATGCACTGAGGTTTATGTCCGAGCATATAATTGGAAATTTGTAATTTAGATACAATTTCACATTTGTTTGGGGTTTATGCCTATTAATAAATGTTTAATGAAGGAAAGGTGGGGCAATTTTATTTTTCAAGTAATTTTTGTTGAAACAATGGGAAGTGGGTGGTTTTTCATACACTATCCGTAAAATTTCAAAATTTGAGCACAAAAAGAGCCTGCTGGCTTTCAATTCAGGTTGGTAATTTATTATATTCTTCCAATATGTGAATTTTGTACAAGTAAATCCAAAGCCTTGGAAAAAGTCACTGAGTGTTTTGGCAAATGCCACATAAGCCAATCAAAATTGTTCCTCATACCTGCCTGCTCCTTCAAATAGAGGAACATATCTTATTCTAGGACAATGTTTACTTGAAAGAAAGGCATACAATTTAGAATGTAGCTACAGAATTTCAAAAAATGTGTGATGTTATTGTGTGTTTTTTGAACACCAAACCTTCTCTACAAAGATCTTGTCTTTCAAGAAATTGGACTACCGCACCTTTTCATTTTTTTTTATTACTTCCACCATATATGAAGTAATTGCTATAGCCTATGCACAGCATCAAGGCCAACATTTTGTTATAATGAGACAATAGCCTAAAATTAATTCATTAAATGGTGCCATAAGGGGAAAGGGCCAGGACCAAGAAAAATGCATTATAAGAAAAGTGTATTGTAATGAGATTCATTGAGGTGGAATTCTACCATATCTATGTGTGATTGGATTTTAGCCTCAGATATCCTTTGTTCTCTACAAATTACATTTTTAATTGTGTGAGGAAAATTCATTTTTGCAAAAAGAAATAAGGCCCTTTTTTTGTGCAGCATCAGGCCAAAATGTGGTTTAATCCGGCCATGGATGGAACAATGTTTTTTATACATACCGGAACAAAATAAAAGAATAAAGAATATAAAGATGAACTAAATAGGGAATATTTTGGAAAAAGTGCCTTCGTATCTTTACGCATCTATAGAGATGCGCACGTTTTGGGCTTGTTGAAATTTCTTCAAAGAAATCGCTTCTAATTGATCCGGATTTCAGGTTTGCGCGAATTCAACGAACCTTTCAATTGGATTTTCTCCCACTGTTCATTGCTTCTTCCGATCCAAATATACTCCGATGTAAAAAAAAAAAAATTAGAATGCATTAATTATTATTCTGGCTTAGACCCACCCACAACAGTACAGCGTCGATCAATTTCCTTTCAGCGTCCCTGGCATGACATTGCCTCAAGGGCTGTCACCCTTTTTTACTTTTTTTTCTTTTGCGAGGTGGAATATTTGCGAATGGAAGCATTAGTATGCAGCAGCGCCACCACATTTGAAGGAAAACTCGTTTTCCTACACGTGAGAGGCCCTTCATTTTTTTTTTAAATAAAATTTATTTTCTGCATTACATGAGAGGCTCTTGCTTTCAACAAGGTACTTCCACGTTGGAATAAACAAAATTTATTATCGTGAGATTATTTTTCATGACGCTATTCTCTTCGAAGACTCGTTCAGGATATTTTTCGCAAGCAGAAACTAAATGTGTTCAAAGCTTTATTTCCAGGGGAAAATTGAATCATAATTGTAAGCCTCGCGGCGATTAATAAACATTTTGACCAGCAGTTTGATGGCTGGGAATGTAAATGCAATTTTTCTTATTTATTTTGCGAAATCATGCAGAACTGTGGCACACATTTAAAGGTCTCATCCAGCGGAAACCCGTTTATTTACTCACTAAGCTGATTTTACACTGGAAAACAAATGGAGTGGAATACAAACTCAGCTGTAAGCAGTGTTTTTTTTTTACAGCTTATAAATCATTCATCCTGAAAGGACCTAATTTTTCGAAAACTTGACCGTCCTTCTTTTAAAATCTTTAGAAATTGGCGCAATGATTTCCTTTCCAACCATCCGCTTTTCAGAAACTCATTTAGGATCAAAATAGAAAACGTGTCCTGCTTCTTTTATAAATTCAAGTTCTACAGAAATATTTTTTGTTGTAAGAATTTGCCCATTTCGATCCGCTGCAGCGCAAATGAAAGATTCAATTTTGTAAATCAGTTAGTTAAATAAACTGCATCCCAAATTAAAACACCCGTCACGTAGGGAAAATTCTATGCAGTCACTTTTGTAATTTTCAGAAACTTCTGCAAAATAAAGTCTAGATTTTTCTCATATTGACGCGGCTATTATTGCAAGGTTTTTTGCCATTCACTGGGGATTCTGGCTTATCCATCAATGAAAGAATTGGATGGAAATTATTGTTAATTGAGTCGTTACCAATTTATTCAAGAATGTGAATGACATGGGCATTATTTTGCAAGTTCAATTGTTTCCATTTTTCAAAGACGTCGCAAAAACCGATCGATCAAGTTTACCCTATAAAAAACATCTTCCGTGCAAAAATTGCGTTCCACTTGAATGAATCACTTCTAGGAAAAATAAATGCAGTCAATCTTCCATTTAGTGCTGCTACGTTCACTGCCTTTCCATAAATTTTACTTTACGTATCTGCATTAGTATTTGCAAAATTTTGTGCCACAGGCAAAAGGAAACACCTAGCATGAGCTAAAATGCCAAAGTCAGGAGAAATCCTCAATTTTTTAGCAATCCTGAAAAAAAAGCATCAGTAAAAATCAGTTACTGTTGGGTGGATTTTTTTCTGCATTCCTGCTGTAAGATTATAGCATTGAGGGATTATGAAAACAATGCTTTTTCCTTTCCTGAATTTTTCCCGACTTCGGCTACTCAGCCGATAAATCTTCATTTTGGTGACCTTCGGTCAAACCAAAATGCGGAGCCGTGCAAAAAGTTTCTGGCACCATTGGGCAACAGAAAATTACCTGTCACTGTCCAAGGGTCAATATTTTACACACATGACCCTGAAATCATCTTAC